TTGGTCATTTCAAACCATTAGACTATGCCATGCTGAGGGGATCAACTGGGTAATATAGTACACAGTTGTCTCTAGTCAGTGGAGCCAACAAACACATAACAAAATAGTCTATAAGCAGCCTGTTGACATCTATGATGGCCTTATCTAAGCTAAATCATTTTAAAGCTACATCAAAGCCTTTATCATGAAGTATTATCAACTTAAATAAAATCAACTCAAACTCTAATTCAAATTATATTTTAAGTCAGCAGACCAAAAAATTGTATTTATTCCCCACAGAATGTGTATCTACCCAACCATCTACACAAATCAGAATCAATGTGAGTTCCATTTTTACAAGGAATACATTATTTGAAATGAAGACATGTAAAACCATTTTAGATATAAATTTTTTGGCTACTCCAGAAAACCATGATGATGACCTCATCATTTTATTTACTAGAACAGCAACTCAGTTCAAGCACCACTCTCTGGAATACGTTTTTGAACCTCTCACACGGAATTAAGTGCTCCTCATTTCTGGTCCCATACCACCATGCACATCACTCCATTAATAATTCATTTACAGCCAGCTGTGTGACCTAAGTTATTTAACTTCTTTATGTTTTAGTTTCCTCATCCATAAAATAGAATTAATTATAATATCCTGCTAATAAATCCACTTTGAGAGCAAAATAAATTGATATACGATAGCAATTAGACAAATGTTTAGAACACAGCAAGCACTATGCCAGCATTAGCTGTTATCATTATCATCAATTTACTTGTTTACTTGTTACTTTCCCTTATTAGACTGGAATCTCCTTGAGAATAGGGACTACATCTTGCTGATTTCTGTATTTCCAGTGCCTAGATCAACATTTGGTATATAGTAAATATAAATACATTTGTGGATTAAATCGTTAACTGAAAAATTGTAAAAGTTGATGTTTACTAAATATCTAAGGACCTCTGTTAGGTCCTCATGACGTAGGATATGCTTCATAAACGTTTATTTGTGATTCTAAATTCAGATATTTAAGTGACTTCTGCCACTTTCCCTACATGAACTCCTTAGAAACTCATCGGCATTTCCTTGAAGATATTTATCTCAGGCTGGGTGTCGTGGCTCATGCTTGTAATCCTAGCACTTTGGGAGGCCCAGGCAGAAGGACTGCTTAAGGTCAGGAGTTCCATACTAGCCTGAGAAACATACCAACAAAAAATAGAAGAATTAGTCAGGCATGGTGATGCATGTCTATAGTCCTAGCTACTCAGGAGGCTGAGGCAGGAGGAGGATCTCTTCTGCCCAGGAGTTTGAGGTCACAGTGAGCTATGATGATGCCCCTGCACTCTACAGTCTGGGCAACAGAGCGAGACTTTGTCTCAAAAAATAAAAATTTTTTTAAAAAAAGACATACATGTATCTGGAATTTCACACACACACACCTGGAATTCACTTTAGCTTGCATAGTTTAAAAAGAATAAAAATTATAAATGTTGGCCGGGCGCGGTGGCTCACGCTTGTAACCCTAGCTCTCTGGGAGGCCGAGGCGGGCGGATTGTT